AGGTTCAGAGACTAGCTAGACTAGAATTATCCAGCAATGTACGTCAGTTGCTGTTGAAGGATGAATCCATTAAAGTGGAAACAGCTTCTACTCAAGACATTGTTGATTTTTCTCCTGTTAACAGATGTCTGCACATTCACTTTGTTCTGGTAAAGTTATAAATTATTTAGCTGTATGTGTGTATGTGTATGCATCTGTAGGGAAGAAGAGATCATTTTATTGATGATTATAGAAATGAAAGGAGACAGCAGCTCAGATTGGCCATTAAGCCTCCAACAAAGGTGCACATAACCTCACATCTCTTTCCACCCTCTCTTTCCCTTCCCTCTCTTCCTCCCCCCTCCCTTTCTCTCTTAGGTTGATGACACACAAGAATTCAAGCGCTATTTCTTCCAAATCATCGGGTAATTATTAGCCTTGCATGTTAATGGTCTGTTACTACACTTTGCTGCTGTCATTTTTTAGATTCTCTGTTGTTGAGGATACAATATTACACACTTATCAGAGCAGCTCTGGTGGTCATAAAGATGAGGCTGGTTAGGGTCTTATGTCTCAGCAGGCTCTTGATGAGTTTTGGGAAATGGCTACATTGTGTAAGATAAACAATTGCATAATATTCTTTTAGACTTATTTGTTTGTTCATTTTGATTGCTATGCATGCAGCCTTATCCACTGAGTGTATTATAGTTCAGTTTATGCCAAAAGTCTTGGTAAATTATGGTACCTTTTGTAGAAATGAAAGTATGATTTTCTAGTGAGGGATAACCCTAAAGTTTTGATACTGTGTTTATTTTCAGCTTCTTTTGTTTACCTTTTTTAATTGTTTATAGTTACATTGCCAGGATAATTATCTTTTACTGAAAATAAAGTTTGGTTTGTCATACTGTTATGGTAAGTCTTGCGTAGCCAGATGTGACTGGATCTACATATCAATCTCATAATGCATGTGCCATGTAGCTCATAGTTTTTACTGTAGTGAATGTTGAGTTTTTTTGAGTCAAAGCAATTTCTTGTTTTTTTTATAAATGCCATTACAATGCAGAAAATAGATTCATGCCTTTATTGCAATGTGTACTGCATGACTTAATAATCTAACTGTGTATAGGGCTATGGGTTCAATAATGACAAGTTGTATGAGGTAGCACTTGAGATAAGGTATAGACTACAAGTTGAACCTGCATGCTTGAACTGTTCTCTTGTTTGTTCCTTTAAGAGAGCATTATGATGAACTTCTTATGAAAACAAAAGCTGATGCTTTCAAGTAAGCAGACAGACCTTCTTGATTTAAATCAATGCATGAATCCTTTAATCAGGAACCTCCTGGCGGTTGATGACTATACTCCAGTGACAGTGGAGACTGATCAGCACTTTCAAGGTATTATGGAGATGTTCAATTACAAGGACCTTCAGATTCATAACGAGCCGTTTCCTAAGAAACTTCCCTTCTCTCTATGGTTATACAGATACATGAACAAGTGAGTGCGTGTATATAAACATGTATATATTTTATTTTATTTTATTCAGATTAAATCTTTCATGAGCTCAAGTTGGGGATATTCTGACAGGCTCAATTTAAGGTTCCATTATTTTTTCTAATTTTTATTTACATAAAACAATGTCAAAATTCTGAAAAGTACCCAAGGCCATGGTTTTTCCAAAAAATGGTTCCAAAATGACCCCCAATTTTTATTACATTTTCTGATACATATTGATGTACTTATGCTGTGTAGAAAGTTTGAGCTGATTTCGACTTCAATTTTTCAAGTTATGACCATTTTTAAAAAGTGCCAAAATTCTGAAAAGTACCCAAGGCTATAGCCAATGGTTTTTTCAAAAAATGGCTCCAAATGACCCCCCATTTTTATTACATTTTTTGATACATATCGATGTCTTTATGCTGTGTAGAAAGTTTGAGCTGATTCCGACTTCAATTTTTCAAGTTATGACCATTTTTAAAAAGTGCTAAAATTCTGAAAAGCACCCAAGGCTATAGTCCATGGTTTTTTCAAAAAATGGCTCCAAAATCACCCCCAATTTTTATTACATTTTAAAATACATATTGATGTTTTTATGCTGTGTAGAAAGCTTGAGCTGATTTCGACTTTAATTTTTTGAGTTATGGCCATTTTTAAAAAGTGCCAAATTCTGAAAAGCACCCAAGGCTATAGCCCATGGTTTTTTCAAAAAATGGCTCCGAAATCACCCCCAATTTTTATTACATTTTTTGATACATATCGATGTTTTTATGCCGTGTAGAAAGTTTGAGCTGATTCCGACTTTAATTTTTTGAGTTATGGCCATTTTTAAAAAAGTGCCAAAATTCTGAAAAGTACCCAAGGCTATACTATAGCCCATGGTTTTGTTCAAAAAATGGTTTTCTAGCTTTCTACAATGCCACCTTGCAATTGACCAATGAGATTGCAGTATTGGAGGCCAATTATTTTCCAGATTAACCTAGCTCGTAAAAATATAAACCTATCTCGTTAAAATAATTAATTGATTGGCAGTTTGGTACTCTACCCTTAAGCTCTTATTAGTCCATTTGTCAAGCTTGGTTGTTAGATACTAGCCTAGCCTGTTAGATACGTTGTATCAAGAGTACATCATGTCTCTACCTCTATAACCCATACATGCATGTACATTGTATATTAAATAAATTTTGTTTAAAAATGATCCTAACTTAGGCTAAATTAAATACCAGCCAAATGTCAGTATTATCACGAAAATCACTAAAATAAGTACATGCATGCTAATAATTGTCTCCTTAAAGTAAACATGAATTATTTATTATTGTAATAGTCATTTCACACATCAATTCTGGAATATATCTAAAATGAAAAGCAGATAAAAATATTTGTCCTCTTGACCATCTCATCCTCTCCCTTTCTCTCTCTCTTTTAGCATCATCATCATGATTTGATACAAGTCGAATTTGGCTGCACAGAATTCTCATTATATATGTACATGTACATCTCAATTTTAAAATTCCTAAACTTTTAAAAATTAAACTGTAAAATACAACCTATTATAAAATTATGTACAAGTTACCAAATGAAAAAAGAAAATAAGAATAATAATAATAATAACTTTAATAATAATGGTACCTAATCAGACAGTTTGTCATAGTTCAAGACTTGTTGTTCTTCTTTCCTTTCTTCTTGTTTGGTCTTTTTCCTTTAATGACTGTCAGTTTATTTCTAATGTTACCCCGTTTCTTTGAACCATAACTCTAGTAATAATAATAATAATAATAATAATAATAATAATAATAATAATAATAATAATAAATTTTTAAAAATACAATAATAATACATGTACAAGTAGCTGACCTTGCGGCTTGATAGTCTCTTTTTAGTAAAGACGTGACGTAAACTGTTGCTAGAACGTACTCGATTGACTAAATCCTTAACTCTAGGAATAAAGGAAGAGGCTAATTTAAATAATTTCATTGATCTACATCAGCTCAAATTTAGTAATGCATGGGCTATACTAGTCCATGCTTTATTGAAAATTTGCTATTAAGTATTAACAAAAATGTTCAAAATAAGGACATCGATCAATACGTATCAGAAATTGTAATAAAATTTTTAGGTGATTTCAGAACCATTAATTTTTTCGAAAAAGCAGGTGCTATAGCTTTTGCCTTTTTCTGTTTTCTAAAACACTCATAACTCAAAAACAATTTGTCAGAAACAGTTCAAACTTTCTACATAGCATAAGGACATAAATTTTCAGAATTTTGGCATTTTCTTAAAATGGCGGTAACTTGAAAAATTGAAGTAGGAATCAGCCCCAAATTTTTACATAGCATAAGGGTATCAGAAAATGTAATTCAAATTGGGGTAAATTTAGAGCTAATTTTTGAAAAACCATGGGCTATAGTAGAGGGTATTTTTCAGAAAGTGTCCTCATGAGGCTCAGTTTCTTACTAGTATATTCTCACTAGCCAGTGCTCTGTTGTATAGGCTTCCTCTAAATGTGTGAACTTCACATTTTTATTACCAATCTCAACATTCCTGGTCCTGTCATAACCACCCGGTGTATTGTAACTATGCTGTATAGGGAGAGGGGGAGAGAGAGAGGGAGAGAGAGAGGGGGGGAGGGGAGAGAGAGAGAGAGAATCAAGTGATAAAGTAAATTTACAAAATGAAGAGTACATGTAAAGGAGAGAGTAAGAGAGGGGGAGAAAAGGAAAAAAAGAGGGAGGGAAAAATAACTAACCTGTACTTCACCAAATCTATAGTAGCACATTTTATACATGAGACAATTGAGGAGGACAGGGGAACCAGCAGAATCAACTCTGAACTCGCCTTGTGGAGTGAAATACCTCGACTCCTAAAATAACCAAAAAATTTAAATAAAAACTAATTTATTGAATGTAAACGTACATGTATCTCATTGTAATAGCTACTAATAATTAATAATATTAATAATAGCTGAAGAGATTGAGATAACACATTACTATACCCCTCAATTGAAACTGACAGTTTACATTAAACAAAAGTACACCAGTGTTTGGGAATGAGGGAGGTAATAAATAAAACCAATCATTATTACAAATTATTAAATAATTGATCACACTTTTAATTATTAATTGACCACACCCACCTTTATATCGTTAGGATGTTCTCTCTCAGCGATCCTCACCATCCATAGAAACTTGTTAATATCGTCCCCAGAGTACCCGATCATACCACCAAATATAACCAGCACATAGTCCACTCCTAGGTTCCTCATTATCTCATACGCCTTCTCTTCAGTACTGCTCATCGCTTTACCTATTAATGATGCAATGATGTAATATGATGTCACTAAATGGGCCACACCCACAAATAAAAAATGAGACCATAATTAATGGGAGTATTCTTTTCAAGCTAAAAACTTTCACAAATAATTCAGTCAAAAATAAGGTGTGAATGTAAAAGTAAATTACATGCAAAATTTATGAAATTTTCACTATACAGTACCTATACAATCTATACAATCCTTACCAACTAGAGTAATATGCGAGTTATTCCAGGTATTATTATCAACTAGTGTTGTCCGGTTGGCAATTCCTGCTATCTGGTACCAACATCACAGTGGCATTATCAGGAGTGTTCTGATGTAGCCAGTAATAGGCCTCACAGAAATCATCAAGAATCAGACATGAACTACATGTATATGTCAATAAATAATTAATAATTTAAGTCCAGTCATAATTATAATGTTTTCTTAGTGCTTTGATATATTGGGATTAGATTTTACTAATTTTACAACTTTTCTTTATTAAGAGAAACAAAATTAATGCATGAAAACATTATTATTATTATTATTATTATTATTATTATTATTATTATTATTTACCCGTCAGGGTTACGAGATGCCAGTACTACAGGTGAGGAGTAGGCAGAGCTAGTCACCCAGGTACAATAATAGATATTAGAGTAAATGAAAGGGATTGGAAACGGAAGTGTGGGCGTAGGCAAACCTCCATTCATTTGTATTGTTGCTAAGTAAACAGAGGCGGGTTGGGATTTTTTGACAGATTTTGGAGCAAAAAACAGAAATTTTCTTGCTTTATTCTTGGATAACTCCAAGAGAATACAATTTATGCAAACAAAACTCACACACAATACTAACCAATGTTTATGCTTTTTATTACGGTAATATTTTTTGTTCAGTAATCAATGCGTGCGTTAGCAGCCGCGTCACTCTTTAACTAGAAATACCATCTTTTCCCCCTCTGAGAGACTCATTTTGTTCTTGAGCTACGAATAAGTATAACCATTTTAAAGAGCTCAAAATCTCCTGTGGAATGAGCTAACTTGCACATTGATACCATGAAGCTTGAGTGTTTTACGAACGATAAAGTGTCACAAAAACAGGCGACTTTGTGTACTTCTAACTGGTTACAGAATGGCTTTTTGGAGACAAAAACTTTGCTGCAGGTAGCTCTAAAATTCTATGTGGAATAGGCTATATATCCAAAGCAAGCACTATCCTGGAACAACACAAATTCCCTTCGAAATCCTGCCAGCGCAACTTCACCAATGGAGGAGATGGGAAATCAATCAAAACACCAATGGTTGTCACGTGGTAACCCAACCCGCATTTCCTGTTGCTACACCCCGTTTCCAATCCCTTTCATTTACTCTAATATAGCAAATAACACGAGGAACATCATAAAAACTAAAATAGTGATTGAACCAACATTGAAGCCACTGGCACCTGTCACACCACCATCCTTATCAGCAGAATCTGGTGATTTCTTTGAAGTTGATGTCACAGCAGAAGACTATATATAATGAATGAGAAATAAATGAATGAACATGTACAAGTATTTATAAATTATTATGTTGTACTTTTGTTTCAGTTTGGTCTTTGTCTTTCTTCTTTTTCTCTTTCTTTGGTTTCTTCAAAGGACTAGTAGCTCCTCCCCCTCCTCCTCCTGTAACTGATTCACTGTCACTATTAATAGCTAGTTACATGATGATCAGCTATTCCAGCACACTTATGTTCCTTGGAATGCTTCTTACATGTGATTAAAGACTAATCCTATAGTTTACTTTTAAAAAGCGAAAAGATGGTCCTAATCATCCACACTCCAGCTACATCATGACAACTGAGTGAGTTATTCCACCGTACCTTGTCCTGATGGACTGAGACTAAGTCTGATGATAGACACTAGTCATAGGACTCAGCTGAATACGCTTCTGTCTTCATAGCAATGGAGGGGCAAGCGCCCTGGCTCCTGAAAGTAAAATTTAGAAAAACGGGAGTTGCCAATGGGTGAGAATATTCCTATGTCTATGATAAAATGTTATATATAAAAGCCAAAATTATTATTATTATTATTATTACTAGACGAATGTAAAACATTAAAGGGGCGAGCCTAAGCAAGCTATAGATTATGTGCTGTATGATATATATGTCTGAGCTAGCAAAGCAATTGCACATGTCTAAATTCAGTATCTTGTAGTCATCTTGCTTAAATTAAAGTTATCTTGCTTATAGTTAGAAGCAGTCACTGAACAAATCATGTTGGAAGATTGTATATCTGCTTTATTAACCTAGGCTTGCTCCTAGAGAAGAAACATCACCTAGAATTGATCTCATGATGCATACAGCTAGCAGTACACTACATGCAGCTTTCTGACTTGCATTCACCTTAGCAGAATCCTTTATACCAAGGAAAAGACTGTATATCTGCTTTCCCAACTTTTATTCTTGCTAGAGAAGTTTCAGACAGCAGTTTAGCCTTATCTAGCTGACCGTTTCCTGCAAAATAAGCTCAGACTTGCTTATACCCGCCATTTTATCATTGTGACCACACCCGCTTTCAATGAAGATCAGGCTATTTAACATTAATTGGGGCGAGCATGAGCGAGACCCACACTAATCTGTCTAGGTCTATTTGCGTTACGTCTTGTTTGTGAACGGAAAAATACGAAAATTAAATTGGTATACTACTATTGATAAATTTGGACCACGTGGGCAAAATTAATTTAGAGGGTGTGGTCAAAAAGAACAAGATGGCGGAAATTTTAACGTAACAAACTCAGATTGACTGAGTTTCTAACAGCTAGATAAGAGAGAGGGGCTATCTAAAACATCTGAAAGGCTGAAGAACTTAAAAGCAGCTTGATCTAAGACTCCTTTAGATTAGTCCTCTCATTGAAAGAATTACAATTGGGAGAACAGCTTGATTAGAAGTTCGGCTTGGCACTGGCATTTCTTAGAGTGGCAGGACAGTTCATTCTTGTCTCTTTTACTGGGTCATTTTGGTCAGTTGTGTTAAATGGTGTGTTTGCTCTGTTCAGACCCTGCCGGGCCATGAGGATGGGGTCTGAAATTCTGAATATGCATGCACGCTAAGAGCTGGATTGATTTTATTTAGTTCAATCTTATTTCAAATGGTAATTGATGGAAGCTAGATTAGAAGTTTAACTTGGTACATTTTCTCAGTGTGGCAGGACTCATTCTTGTCACTTTGATTGGGTTATTTTGGTTGTGTTAACTGGTGTGTTTGCTCTGTTCAGACCCCGGCCATGAGGCCGGGGTCTGAATATGCATGCAGGCTGAGAGCTGGATTGATTTTATTTAGTTCAATCATAATTATTTCAGTTGTTAATTGATGGCTCATGCTCGCCCCCACAATGTTTACATTCACCTAGTAATAGTTAGACGGTCTGCTCGTACAAACAAACTCTTTCTCGCCTTAGTGGGGCGAGCTCAGGCTCGCCCCAATTATTTCAACAATTAGCTTTGCTATTATTATATACAATTATATATATTTTAAAAATTATTATTATTATTATTGATAGCAAGCAAAGAGCTTACAGAAGAGATAAATAGAGTATACGGAACAAAAGGACAGTTCTCACAGCTAGAATGGCTGGATAAAAGTGAAAATTGTTCAGCCTGTCTTCCCTCCAAAATCCACCATTTTTACCACCATCATGCACCATGTCGCCTGATGTCGGGTGCACGTTAATTAGAATCGCTTAAGTGGTTGTTGTCCATCCAGTTTAGTGCATCTGCGCATGCGCAGTATGCAAAATGAGTTTTTGAACTGGCCAGAAAAGAGGTGTAGCTAGCTTGCGATAACATAATAATGGATTTGGCCACTAGTTTTTCATATTTTGGGCTTTCGGGTATTCCGGCTAATGAGAGACTGGTCTGGCGCCGCGAGACTAATAAGAAACTTCTTCGAGCAGCAAGAAATAATTTATATGTAGTGAAGGATCTCATTGAATCTACTGGCTGTGATATTAATGCTAGAGAAAAGACAACTGGGTCCACTCCATTACATAAAGCATGCTATAATGGATCACTGTCAATAGTAGAATATTTGATATCTAAACCACAGTGTGACATTGAAGCTATAGACAATAAAGGAAATCAACCACTTCATTATGCAGCATGTCAAGGACACAAGGAAATAGTTTCAATATTAGGAAAGAAAGTGAGTGATGATGGTTTATTTGAATGTATGGAATCAGCAAAGCAACTAGCAGAACCAGATATAATGAAACTATTGAATAATTTTTTAAAAGATAGATCATTAATTAACGCATGTGAATCTGGAAAAATAGACACTGTACGTCATCTTGTGACTTACAAACACTGCAATGTTAATGCTAAAGGGAGGAATGGCTATACACCATTACATTATGCATGTGAAAACGGTCATTTTATAATTGTTAAAATTCTGACTAATCATCCACAATGTAATACTGAAGCTGAAAATAAGTATAATGACAGACCACTTCACATAACATGTAAATCAGGAAATGTAGACATTGTACGTCATCTTGTGATTGACAAACACTGTGATGTTAATGTTAAAGGGAGGAATGGCAATACACCATTACATTATGCATGTGAAAAGGGTTTTTTTGAAATTGTTAAAATTTTGACTAATCATCCAGAATGTAACATTGAAGCTGAAAACAATTGTCATAATAGGCCATTACATTTAGCTTTTAATCATAAACCTCCTACTAAAAGTCATATGGACATTGTTGATTACCTTGTTGACGTTAAAGGTTGTAATACTCAAGGGATTGATAAAAAGGCTACAAATTATCTTCATATTCATCAAACTAGTGGTATAGCATTATTACGTACTGTCAAGTGTATATTGACAGGTCCTCCTGGTGCTGGTAAGAGTACATTAAAGAAGAGACTCCTCAATCAATCTCTTGATACAGGTCCTTCTCTTAGTACTGGTGTAATTGATGCAGCTGTACAAGTTAATTCATTTCGTAAACTATCACAGCACAATGCAGTAGTGACTACAGAATGGAAGGAACAGGAACTTGACGAAGAAGCTATACTGATCACTAAGAAACTATTACCAGGAAACAATACATTAGATGAAAGTGTCGGACCTACTGCACCTCATCAGTCTACTTTATCATTTGAGAATACAGAAACTTTATCATTTGAGAACAAATCACAATTACAACAAGAAATAGACCTATCTGATCAACATGATAATACAAGTGTTATGTCTTCACCTACTTATATGCACTCTAAAGTAATTGATGCCACAAGTTATAATGAAGAAAGCTCAACTATGGAACATGAGAATATAGGCAATTCATGCAGAATACCTGTCATTTCTGAGGAGGAAGAAACCAGAACTGATAATGAAGTGCAAAATATCAGCAGTTCAGTAATAAAAAGATTTTCGGACTTTGTATCAAGGATACCTGATGAAAAAAGAGAAGAATACGAGAGGAAGTTTGAAGAAGGAAATGATGACAATCACTCAATGTTACACATCATTGATACTGGAGGACAACCTGAGTTTCATGAAATATTACCAGCTCTTATAACTGGCCCAGCTATCAATCTACTGGTATTCAAACTAACTGAAGATTTAAGGAGTCGCTATGAAATAATTTATCGAACCTCTACTGGTGATTCTAAACCTTATGAAACCTCATTGACACATGAAGAAGTAATATTCCGTTCACTAGCAAGCATAGCTTGTTTAAGACAAAACACTATTGGATGGAGTTTTGATGAATTACCTATTGAAGATAATTCAGAACCTGTTGCCTTCCTTATTGCTACACACAGAGACCAA